CAGAAACAACCTCTGGGCTGATCTAAGTCAGGGCAAGGCTAACTCACAGATCAAACCCAGAAACAACCTCTGGGCTGATCTAAGTCAGGGCAAGGGTAATTCACAGATCGAACCCTTAAACAACCTCTGGGCTCATCAATTTCAGGGCACGATTAGCATAATTGATCGAATTTAGCGTGGTAGGAGTAGGAATCATGGAAAAATTAAGACCACACCTGTTCGAACGTCAATGTGCCGTTATATGGAGAGATCTGTGACGCAGCATTTGGTGACATACTCCAGTTGACATGGACTTCTCTGAATGCACCACCAAGCCTCTGGACCTCGAGGCGAGCCGTCGTACCTTCACCGACAGTAGTTCTAGACACTGTAAACCTGAACATAATGAAGATAATGAGGTTTAACTTTGTCCCTGAAACAGATGGACGAGAGGCGACCATAGCAACACCTGGGGAGGGGAGTTGTTGGTACATACAGTCAATTCAAAAAATGTTGTCGTCGACCAACTCAAGCCTACGCGACTGGACCGAAAGGAACTCTAGGTAGTAATCATTGAAGGCAAGTTGACTCCATAATTTTATCTGACTAGTTATGCCTGGTTTACAGCACAAACCTTCGTAGGCGAGCAGGAAGAGTTGAAGGAGACGTTTTTCTAATGCCTTCGTATTTTCGGATTCGTGAACTGAATCATAACTACTTGGTTTTTCTTTCCCTAAACCCGAAGACATGCATTTGATGGATTGTTTCTYGCCATTATTATCTTTATTACTAGTGGGAACAATTAATTCAGAACGAATATTTAACCGCTACAGTGATTTTTACCCATATTCCTTTCGGTCAAGTCGTGTAGGCTTGAGCCGGTCGACGACAGCGTTTTTTGAATTGACTGTATTCTCTACTTCACGTAACATCACTGGTTGGTCAGGTGGTGCAGGGGAGTGTAAGGTCAATGGGAGTGCATTTACACATATGTAATAATAAAGATAACTAGAATAATTACCCAAATACGCCGTAAGGATTATCGTTAGCTTTGATCACTACATCAACTCTACTCTTGGATCCAATCTTAACTCCATTGATTGGTCGTTCTATTGACACATAAAAAGCCTCTTCCACTTCAGGTATCCCATCGTCAACCACTGTAATATTGATGATTTTAGATGTTTCCCCATCCCTAAAGTAGACTCTTCCATCTGTTGGATGGAAGTCCGAACTACTTGCAGACGATATTGATCCAATAGTACGTGGTCTGACCGTATAATATAACCCTACTTCCCCAGCTGCACTTCCTGTACGTAAGACCTCAAGCATCACCGTCGACCCTTCTGAGGTTTCAATTTGAGAGTCAGACACATTCAAGTTCAGTTCACCCAGGGATTCATTGATCTTTGATATCACAACCTCAAGTAGCCTTGTTTGAAAGTCGACCCGAGGAGAGTTGGTAACTAGTGGAGTTGTTGGAGAGCCTGGAGCTAGAGTGACTGCTGTAATGTTGACATAAAATAGCTTGTTTTGCGAAGAATGGTTTCTCTACCGAATAAGACATAAATAACGCATGAGAACAAAAACATCGTTAGTGTATTAAGAGCAATTCTAAGGAATAGACCTTTTTGAACGAAATGTTTTCACATTTCAAACCACATTTTCACAAAAGTGTTGATAATCAAATAAGAAAACAATGCTCAAGGGAATGGCACGTGAAATGGGTAAAAGCTACTAACTGTAACGGGGACTTTTCTTGGTATAAGCTCAAAGGGAACCCAATCTTACACTCTTACAAAAACTTACATGGAGAATCTCGAAGGTGATATGGGTCGAGTTGACTCCATCAGGGATATCAATCGTGTCATGTTGCGCTATGAAGTCGACTCCGGCAACAGCCGCTTGCTCGTTGCCATGCAACCCTCCTAGCGGCTGCACCGGCTGGTACGACACAACCACGCCTCCTATCAGCCCTCCTTGCCTCGTGATCGTCAAAGTAATACTCTTATTGGTTGGTTTGGCTTCCTGTGACAGATACAAGATACTTGACCAGCCTATGACACCATGGGGTTCATCGTTGCCAGGGATTATTAGCGTTGCTAAGGCACGTGCTGTGTTGATGAGAGCTCCACGGCCTGGTTCGGAGGATCCTGTCTCATTCAGTCCAATGAGTCTGGAGACCGAAAAAGAATTATTTGTTCAAATTAGCAGATTGGGGCTGTGAAGCCAAATATAGGTACACCATGTATGTCCGCAATGACAATTCCATCTTCCCTTTGAGTACCAAATGAAGAACATTTTATACAATACATGAAGTACCTACTGAGAACAAGTCTAAACAAGTGACATTTTAAAGAACAAATTGTAAACGAGAAATGCCACTCGTCCTCAAATATGTGTAGATGTTACGTAAATATATTTTTATAGCAGACGAACTTTTTCAAATTCAGTTTTGTTTATGAGTGTTGTAGAAGAAATATTATCTATCTTTATAAGCCAGTAAAAGCGTATCTCTCATAAACATTTACAAAGCAAACTCAAGACACCCATGACGACCGTCGAAGGCGGGAGCACCAAGCGGGATTCGGGAGCAGGCCTTACCGAAATTTTTTTTAACTGAAACAATTGGAAGTGCGATTTCTAGTGTTTTGAGTGCATCTACAACATATTTATAGCATTGGCTATTGATATTTTGAATAGAAACAAGTAATTCAAAATATGCCGGCAAAATAATTGGGGGGAGGGGGGAG